ACAAGCTTTGGGCTCACTTAATTGTGAAATACCCAAGCCATGTAACATCTAAAGGAGATTCGGACAGAGTGTCTCACATTTCGCAGTTTGAGCTATAATTTAAATAAGTATTTTTAAGGAAAATATGAAGAATTATTTGAGTGCGATGGAGAAATAAGTTAGTACACTAACAATAAATATTCGACACACCTTCAACACAATTAAAATAGTTTTCAAAGTATACTGTAAAATTAAAATATACATACTGCAAGCTTAATTAGCTATAGTACAATATTAAAACATTTCTCATTTCAAGGAAGAATTATTTAAAATACCCTTAATGTTTCCAACTAAAAGCGCACTTGGAAACTACTTACTTTGAATAAATATAAAATGAGAAAAAACGTTGACTTGTTCATTTTCCCGAGATGAAAATAATTGAAAATAAACACGAATACTCCTGCAGCGGGTTTAGTTCGTTTATATAGTACAAAGATATTACTATCACTTGCAAAACACGGAAATCTACGGAAAACTGAAAAAATCACGTACTTCAGTCTATTTATAGATAACCTCATTTCGAATCGCACCTGTTCTATTAATGCAAGGTGTAATTTATTTAATACTAGCTGTGCACGAATTTGTCCACGAATAGTTACTTTGGAGATCCAAATTTGATTTTACAAACCTTTTTTTTAGTTATAGCTGTTGCCCACGACTTCGTTCTTGCAAGTTCATCTTAAACGATAGGATCCTACCGGTTGAAACATAATAATGTTTAGTTTAGGCTATATTCAGTCTCGGCCTCTGGGATAAGGGATGTCACTTTAACCAATCTGATTAGTTATAGTTAGTCTGTAAATCAAACAATAAGATTTCAGTAATTTTAACGCGACGTTCTTATATGATAGCACCGTAAAATACAGATCAAACACCCATCTTGCGTTATTTGAGTTAAGAAATTTCGACAATGAGCTCTTTTCAATGAAATAAATTCTTTGAATTGATTCACAGATGTTCCCTATTCAAAATATGATCTCGTATTGAAATTGATATGGAAATAAATCGCAAAAAACAAGGTCACACACAGGTCGAGTAACTGCCTCCTTTGTCTAGTATTTACTGATTTGACTGCAGATCACGAAGTCCCTGGTTCGAATCCTATTCGCACGAAATGTTAGTACATAGACATGGAAGTAGGAGGTGTCTAAAGAATTAAGCTGTATCCACAATGTAGGTACACTGCCATTTATAGCGAGCCAATTTTGGAACACTAGCTGTGGCCACAAGTTGGTCAGCGTGCAATGGTTATTTTTGGCAATATGTTATTTTTGCAAACAACCTTTTCAGTTTTATAAACTATGGCTGTTGCCCACGACGTCGTTCGCGTCCCATTGTTCTTCCGAGTTAATCTTAAACATCACTAGAATTTTTTTTAGATATATTTGGAGGAATCATTCTTTTATACATATATTATTGGGTACCTGGATTTTTTATCGCAGCGTACGCAGTGGGATCCCACAAAGACACATACATTTTCCCGTTTTTTACACATTTCCCACTGTTTCTTCTCTCAAACTTCCTCGATAAATGTAAAACACAAAAATATATTTTTTTAATCAAACCAGTTTTTGAGATTAGCGCGTTCAAACAAACAAACTCTTCAGCTTTATAATATTAAGTATAAATGTAAGGTTTCTAGATAATTCTTTTAAATAGGATTCTGCTAGAATAGATTTCATTTAATTTTTTTTTTCTTTAGCAGCGCAATTGTTTCTTTCACCTCCGTTTTATAAAACGTAATAAGTCATTCATTACAAAGGTAATGATAATTGGGTACTTTTTTGAAATTTTAGTGTGCTATTATAGTTTACGAGTAGCTTCTCTTATCTGCTTATTGGCTTATGTAAACATATTTTAACGCGAAATAGGTTTATATGATTTTACAAATCGACTTAAAACCACGTAAAAATATACTGATAAAGTGTTTCGTTTTCTATTTCAACTCGTAAATATTTCAGCACCCAGTAATCGTCATAAAATATAAAAACCTGATATGGCGGTGAATCAAAGTTGTGGAGGTCGTAAAATTGTGGTATTTTTATATCATACATTTTGAGATAGGTAGGTATTGATTCTACGCTTACAATGTCAATATATTAGATTCAAGTACTTCTTTGTTAGAAAGGGACAGACAATTATGGGATTCACTAGAACCACGAGCAATCTAAACAAGATATGTTGTCGACCTATTTTGGTTAGGGATATTGAAAATGATTGCTGATTTCGACGGTATTTCGATACATCTACAAAGTATATATTTAATAATGATCTGATTTTCCAGACGAAGTCCTAACATGTTTCAGAAAAAAAAACAAATATTTTCATAAATATTCACGTGGAGGTAATCAAACCCACAATACGTTGCTAATGCTATCATTGTTAATGACGTTTGAAATGTCTGTAAGAAGCATAATCGACATGTTACTAATCCATGTGAAGTTAAGGATTATTTTTTTAACGTACATTTTTAAGGCATTTCCAGGGGTTTTCAATACCTACAACCTTAAAATAGAGTTAGGAAAGAAAAGCCTTTTTTAAATATAATTTTGCATTTATTCGGCACACCGCTCTACAATAATTATTTGAACTGCTGCAAGCGAGATAGTGATATGATATTTACAACAAATTGACATAATTCTTATAAGCTTTTTGGTAAGCGTTTATGTAATATGTGAAAATCGTCTTTATAATTGCGTTAACAATATTTATAATAGATAAAGCAATTAACGGCCAAAATGGGAACAGAACTACTCTAGAAAACGGTTAGTTCGCACCAAAATTGGGACTTATTTGTGCTAAAGTTAACTTACGTTTGGGACTGACATATATCTATGTTCGTTCCGCTGATTAACAGTTTTTAGATGCATTTAAATAAAATCTAAAATGTCCGTAGTTTACGCGAGTAGCACATATTTAAATTAAACAGTTTAAAATGCGAGTTTTTTGCCACAAGAGAGGGTGTCCCCTATCCACCTTTAGTTTCCCCGTGACCACGGCTGCTGCAAAGCATCCGAAATGCCACGTCGTTGTTAAAATAAATTGTAAACAAGTTTTTTTAATATATTGCACATTATAAACAGTTAAAGGGTTTTATTTAATTTTTTTTTGTGTTGTGTAATGTTAGTTTTGAGACTTGCTACTGTTCAAATTAATATTCTGAGAGTAGATCTTTAAAATTTTTCCAGAGTAGCTCTGCGTTTTGACATCGGTACATACAATCTATTATATAATGACAAATATCTTATAATATATACATTGGCACTTAGTTTACACATATAAATATGAATATTTTCGTTAAATATACGTTATCTTTGTAAAATAGAAAAAATACAAGTGTTTCTCGACTATTTTTGATACGTACATGAAGTTTCAAAAAACAGTTTCTTGTATTTGATATATTCGTAATCACATTTTTCCTTACGTCGAGAAATGTTATTTACAGACTATAGGAATACTTCTAACAAGGACAAAGAAATAAATATGTTTGTCTTTTGTTTTGTCTCGCGCCTAACGCAAGAGACAAAAGACAAAGCCTAAGTAGCCGACCACGTACACTGTAATCTAATAATTATTTATGGATTTATTAGGACAGTATAAAATATTTTTAATTTAACGTCAATATTGTTTTATATTAATATACAAACATGGTTTTGGCACTATTTAATTTTCACGAAGAAACCAGTGAATTTTATTCAAACAACGTTTCAATTTCAAATATTTTAATTGGCACCAATAATACGATAAATACAGTTGCTTTGTTAAATTTTAAATCTTCGCTTATCTAAGTCGTAGAATAAACTTTTAATCACAGGAAAACACTCAATTCCATTAATATGTACAGATATTTTAGCCTATTTGATAAATTTAATAGTTAAAACGTGTTTAGGATCAGTGCACACAAGTTACGACCGGAATTGAACTGAATAAAAAGTGATTTATTAAACCAATTTATGGAGAAATAACATTATGCACATTGTCGTTATAATAAATGGGTATAAACTCAATGACATTCAACAAGTCGTTTCATTATGAAAGAATTTTAAATTTTCATTCGCAGAATATTGCGTTTAAAATTTTCTGCAGTACATTTCAGGTTTCCAACCAACTTTTGTCGCGTATTTTTTTACTTACACAATTACTACTTACTTAGAATTACTCGTGTTTCTTTCATAATTGCTCGAGTAAAAAATGCGAAAAAAGTCGATATGAAATACATGACTGAAGTCTTGAAAGTTTTGTGTAGTGTGTACTGACCCTAAATAAAAGATAAGACTAGTAAAAGATACTTAGGTTTAACTTTCAGCGACTTTTTATTACCGTGTTGACGTCTAGTAATTGAGAACGACGTGCACAGTAATAAAATATCGTAAGCTCGTTAAACGTTTTACTGAAATATAGTAATTTAGACAGTCGTAAATCAGTCGTGCGATAGTTACAACAAAGCTCAAATTTGGTTATTTTTACAATGTACAGTCGTAGACAATAAATATTTAAAGTAACATTTTAAAGCAAGACATAGTAGTAGACTTTGCTAAACATTATATAATTCCTTTCTTTTTATATTGAATATACAAATAAAATCAACGCAATTAATATTTCACACGTACCTATTATCTACCTAAATCAATAAACATTGTATGATAATAATCATTGTTTGTATCAAACGAATATTAACCACGACTGTACATTGACAAAATTGCGTAAACAATTATTTAAGTATCTTAGAAGATTGTAGAAATATTTTACAATAGACCAAGTATCAAGAATAGCTCTTCATTTTCGCCTTATAAAGATGAGGGTATCGGACAAGCTCATAATATCATCGAAATATTATAATTTATCTAACATCCACCTTGAACAAGAATCTACAAGCATTATAAACGAAATTTAGGTGGTTCAATCTCACTCTAACTAAATGCCTTTCGAGGGATACTCTATCCCTAAAAAAAAGGAACTTTTCAAGCGTAGCTCTGCGCGTGTTCTAGTGGAACGTTCAACTTGCTACCTTTGTCCACCCAGTTCTTTAAGCGGCCTCGCAATTCTTCCAAACTTTTAGACTTTGCTTTGTTTATCCTCTTGTACTTCACGTCTTTCGGTTTGGTGACGTTCCTGTGATTGGACATCACCCTGTTGTAAGTTACGACGTGAGTCGACTTCGGTTCTGTGTTTTCTTCGTCCGTCTCAGCGTTGGATACCTCTTCATCCGACTCATTGGCAGCCATCATGCGTTTTGGCACATAGCTGTAGGCCCAGGAATCACTGGGCTTAGATTTCTCCTTATCGCTGTCTGTGCTTTTGACTTCGCCGGTCAACACAATACTACGCATCCGGAAGTTATCTCGTCTCTGCGCTAGAAGACTGCTTTCCTTTGTCTTCTGTTCATCAGTTTTATTAGCATCCTTGATTTCTTTTTCTGTGCTATTCTGGGCACTGAGCGCCTTTATGGATTCATTATCAGCCTCCTCTTCTACACTATAGACCGTTTCCAGTATTTCTGGTCGACGCAAGAACCCATTGGAGCGTCTAGCAACGCTGTATTTGAGATTTGGGTCTATGGCATCTGAGATCGAACGAACGACAGTCACGCTATCTGGATTCATGGATCGGAATCGTGGAAGGTTGGATAGATTACAACAATCAGAATCCATATCTTCCATAATCACAGCGGAGTCTGAATCGTTCAGGGAATCAAAGTCTCCTGTATTCGAGTCAAGGAGCATATCTCTGAAATCTGGAATCGGTTGTATTGTATCTATTCCATTATCTAGGAGTTTAGCCTGTAAAGACTCGATAACTTTTTGTTGTTTCATGATGATGGTTTCCCGGAGGGAAAGCATGTTCGTAATCTCCTTTTGCTTGCGAACCAGGCGCGATTCGAAAAGGAGCAATTGGCTGGAAAGCATTTTCAATTGTTCTGCCTTTTCTATCTGTAGACGGTTGACTAGTTCCTCTTGATTGCGATGGGCTCGACGCCATGTTAGGAGCTGGTGCGCTTGCGCCCTGTACTTCATGCGTAAGTCTCTGGAACAATAATTTATTGTTAAGAAACAGAAGATATGTATTTTTTTATTGTTACGTGTTAATTTATTAGTTAAATAGTTGGTTTTTATGCCTTATCAACATAAGAAAAGCCTTCCAAAAGACAATGTATGTTGCCAATTTTACCTAATGGTTCTCCTGGCTTCTTCCAAAGTATAGGCCTCCAAAGGATCTGTGATTGAGGCTGCCAAGGAGACATCTGGCTCAGTTGGGCTATTAAGCGCCGATTCACTCCGACTGGGGACAAAAGAGACTTTGTTATAACATCAGTATTGAATTCTCTTCTAACGTTACTCAAGAGTCTGATTATTGTTTGAATAAAATCGAACTCCAACTTATAAAAGCTTTGAAGAATATTATTGATAATAATATACTAAACATTTAATTGAGTACTATTAAGAATTCACAATCTATATCTATACTAATATATAAAGCTGAAGAGTTTGTTTGTTTGAACGCGCTAATCTCAGGAAGTACGGGTTCGAATTTGAAATTTGTGTTGGTTAGAGCATCTATCGAGGAAGGTTATAGGCTATAACACATTGCGATGTGACTAATAGGAGCGAAGATACAGTGAGAAATATGAACAAATCGGGGGAATTTTTCACCTCTGTAGGTTTCAGATGCGTACGCTGCGAAAATGGTTCAGAATACCTAAAAATTATGTATGAAAGAATGATTGCCCTTTAAATGATCTAAAAAAAAGTCTGCGACACTATATGTCTATCTTCTAAGATTACCTTGCAAACACTACCCGAACGACGGGACACGTACGAATACGAATATCGTAGGTAACAGCTATCTAGACTAATATTATAAAGAGGAAAGATTTGTATTTTTGTATGTAACGGATAAACTCAAAAAGTACTGGACCGATATATAATTCTATTTATATTTTTTAATTTAAATAAACTCAAACCACTTAAATAAATTATAGATTTTAATAATATTATAAATGCGAGAGTGACTCTGTCTGTCTGCCTGTCCGGCTTTAACTACGAAACTACTGAACTGATTTAAATGACATTTGGTACATAGATACTTTAGACCTGAGAAAGGACATAGGCATTTATTTTAATGCAAAATAGGGCTTTATAGGGGTTGAAAGAGGGGATGAAAGTTTGTATGGAAATTCGTGGTTTTTGAAGCTAGAACAATTAAACTTTTCCTTTGGTTTATGGGAATAGGAATAGGAGTGGGAGTTGGAGTAAGAGTGAGAGTGAGTGTAGGAATGAGAGTGGGAGTTAAAGTAGGAGTGATGTAAGGTGAGAGTGTGCGGCAAAGTAGCACATACAACATAGATTGGCTGCCCTAAATGCGCCCATACATAAATTAATAAACAGCCTAAATATAAAAATTCTACCCAAGTCGCTATTCCACGCGGACGAAGTCGCGGGCACAGCTAGTCTATCAATATATCCGAATCTATAAATACAAAAATAGTAAAAGATATAAAATAATCACTGCCTTATTAAGAAATTGTCTAAATATCAATCCAGCGTAACAATAGTTATGTTACTTAATAATTCTTTAAAAACCTAAAGAACCGTACATGTTTAATCATTCTAAGACTGTTTGTATTAACGTTACAAGCGTTTAATTAAGCGAAATGTTCAAAAGGTGGGTGGATAGAGGAAATACACGAGTTTAACTATAGCACAGAATAAAGTCGACCAGTTGTTCATAATTGTATAACAATTAGTTAACGTATCGACTATTGAGATCTAGCGTACGACAAACAAGTAAGACTTAAAATTTATATATATTAAATTCGGAATAAAAGTACAAATACCAATAATATCAAAGATTTATAATTTATATGGTATGTAATATAATGTCAAATATATTATTTGACCCAAACACGCGGAACAATACGGCCAAGCTCAACAATCTACTGTCAGTTAAAAACAGATAGCTATTCCGCATAAAAAAATCGATTTAAACTATCTTTAACTGGCGCTTCAATATTTTTCCGCGATGAAGATAAAAGATAGACAGAATAGCCATCTCTGGTTGACGTTTCCCTCTCAATATATGAGTTAAATATTTTAAATTAAATATAATATTAACATAATATTGTAGATTGGCGTTGCACGTGACGGAATGGATTTTTGACGCTTGACCCTCTGACTATGTTGTTCTTAATTCTTGTAAAGTTCAACTGTGTTACAAGTTACTATTACTTAATTCGACATAATATAGTTTGGATGAGCCGACTGGAAGAGTATAAAAAGCTCAATTTAATACTGTAGGAATTGAGCCCTACTGTTCCCGACACTCTGTGGCTAATGCTAATTACGTGAAACTCATTATAACGTTAATTAGCTAGCGGCTGGCGAATGATGGGGGTGATAAGTCATATCAAACCCTTACTTTGTTGTTTGTACCGTTAGTTTCGTTTTTTTGAATTTTCATTACACTCATTGTAGTACTCGGAGGCTTCTTTCTCATCTTAAATATAAGCTATATCAATAAATGTTCTAAACAACACAAAAAGAGTTTTTTTTTATTCGAACCAGTAGTTTCTGAGATTAGCGCCATCAAACAAACAAACTCTTCAGCTTTACACACTCAGTATAGATGTTCTGTAGTTTGCATTGTGTTGTTCAATGAAAGCTTATGATTTGAAACGGTTTCGAAGAATAAGCACCGAGAAAGCACAATTTCTCCCGCGGACTATTGTTTCTGACATTCAAATGAGCTTGGCGGAAATGGAACGCATTTTCAACCCGTATTTGTCTATATTTCGTTTTTCAATACCTATCAAAACAATAACTTTTAATCTAATAAGTAACAGTATTGAAATGCCAGAAAAAAATTATAATATATTGTTTTATATTATAACCTTAACTAATATATAAAGCTAAAGAGTTTGTTTGTTTGAACGCGCTAATCTCAGGAGCTACTGGTTCGAATTGAAAACCCTTTTCTTGTTGGGTAGGGCATTTATCAAGGAAGGCTATAAAACATCGCGCTGTAAATAATAGAAGCGAAGAAACAGCGGGAAATGTGGAAAAACGCGGAAAACTATTCTGTTATTATCTTTGTGAGTTTTCGATGCGTACGCTGCGAAAACGGTTCAAGATATCCAAAAATATGTATTAAAGAATGATTCCTCTCTAAACGGTCTAAAAAAGGTCTTCAACACAGTATGTATTAAGATTAACTTGAAAGAAAGACGGGACGCGACCGACGTCACAGGTAACAACTTAAGTTTATAATGATGAAGGTTTACAAAAACAAATTTGGATACCTAAAATAACTATTCTACTCGGAGGAAGTCGCTGACACAGCTAGTAATATGTTTGATGTTAGTAGATTAGTTTACTCTTAGTAAAAGTAGTACCTTCTAGAATGAAAACAATTTCCTTCGTTTACTTGGGCCCAGACAGGCGGGTAAGAATGTCTATATTTTAGCAGTTTACATCTAGAATGTCTATAGGCAGACAGACATTCTAGATGTAAACTCCTAAATTGTTTTTATTATATATATCGGTAGATAATTATTACTTTTAATATATTTTGTTAAGTCACTACTACTAAAATATTGATTGCTTGTCTTTAACTTCTCAAAGGATAAAAATATAAATTAATTAATACTATCGAACGAGACAATTCTAAATCCGTTAGTGTTTGTCAAAACGTAGGCAAGTGCCGATTTGGCATTTTACAATTTCAATCCAACACCAATTCCAATTCAATTGTAATATTGTCAGAAGTATCGAAATTTCAATATTGGTTACCAATTAAATTAAAATTGGTCTTGCATTTCAAGAGTAGCCCGGCAGGACTTAGTTGATTTAGATCATTGTTATTTACAAAAGTATACATTGCTATACTCATTACTTATATTTGCACATTATATTTAATGCCATTGTTGTGTAATTTTCCCAGGGAGCTGCTAAATATATATATAGCCCAGTCTATAGTACTGAGGGTCTAAACTGCACCGGCCTTATTACAAAAAAAACTTAAACCTGTGGAGTCTTGGTTTAACTCTGAAACCATGTTCTACAGTACAAACGTTAACCTTCGTTTTGTAATAAGAATGCACGTGTCTACATCGTCTTACCAAACATGTAAAAATGTATATGCGTCAGGGACTATTGTACATATAGTACTTCCAAAGGGCATTGATAACAACTTAAATATTACCTCCAGTAAGTAATAAAGACGATAACACTCTCAAATTAAAAGAGGGGGAAATTCTATTTTTAAATTACAATTAAATTTAAATAAAGCATTGTCAATGTATTTGTAAATTAAAGTAAGACTGCTTTTATATTTACACAAACCATTAATATATATTTTAAGTTTAAAGGAATCTAGTTTTACGCCTACAGTTACCTAATATTGTCAGTCAATAATTATATAATGCTATGAAAAGTTACAACACATTTCTATGTCCCTTTCATTGATTGGTTCTATTACAGACAAGTAAGTTGCTCAGACTTCTTTGTCTTGGACGTTCGGAATGATCAATTGTTTCCCTGAGATTCGAACCCACGACCTCTCGAGCTTAACACAATGCCAGACAACACGGTAATACGGTTGTTTTTGTAATCTATACTAATATATATAAAGCTGAAGAGTTTGTTTGTTTGAACGCGCTAATCTCAGGAACTACGAGTTCGAATCGAAAAAATATTTTTCTGTTGATTAGATCATTTATCGAAGAAGGCTATACGCTATAAAACGTTGTCCTGCAACTAATAGGAGCGAGAATGTGACAAAAATTGGAAGAATTATTCATAATTATGGGGTTCCGAGGCGTACGCTGCAAAAATGGTTCAAGATACCCCCAAGTATGAGAGAATGATTCCTCTTTAAATGATCGATTATATCTTTTAAGATTATCTTGCAAGGACGACGGAAAGGGACGCGAAAGACGTGGTATAAAATAACTATTCTATACGGACGAAGTCGCAAAGCTAGTCAATAATAATATTTTATTACCTCTTCATTTGTCTCTTAAAGTTTTGAAAACAGTTGTGAACTAATATAAGTCATTCTAATCTTATTTAAAACAGCGATGTTTCAAAGAGTACAGAAGTAAAGTATTGCATATTCACAAAGGTATACAGCAAAGCCACAGATACTCCTTATACAGACTAACGACATAAGTCATAAGAGTTAGCGATGCGTAACGCTGTAACTGTCAAAATCATATTCCGTTTCAATAATAAGTCGTTAGTAAGGAACTTTTTCTGTTTCGCCTAAGTGGTATGGCATGGCCAGATTTGTGTCCGTTTAACTAAGATATTTTATTTACTGACAGTTAGGTGATAAGTTTTTTTCATCTACTCGACCTAAATTGTTTTTTGTTTTCCCGGTGTTTTATTTAAAATAGTGTCTCTTTCAAAAATGGTTTAAGTGTCGCTGTTTTGGACTAGTACAACTTGTTCCCAGGGCTCCCTCGAAAGTACCGTAGCGGGCTGATGGTGTGTTTAGTGGTTCTGGTAGGCTATTGTCTCCGAGGAGGTTGTAGTACAACTTACCACACTCCCCACGTAACTCTTGCCCGACGTGGACGTGCATTTTGCATTTACAACATCAGTTAAAAAAAATATAAATCGCTATTTCTTATAACTTAAGCCACAGCGTTGTATGCATGTTCCCGTTATGCCGTGGAGCTATAAAGTACGCTAGCAACATCGCACCCCGCTGCGAAATAATAACAACCATATCTCACTCTTTATACCATGAAAGGTAGACTTTATACCATGAAAGGTAGACTTTATACCAGTTTATTGCGTGTGAATTGCTTTTGTGTATCAAGCTATAAAAATAGCTATAGCTAACAATTGAAAAACGAGAGCGCAGTCCTAGAAGATGGGACAGTTCCACACATTGTTAAACCCGTGGGCATGGTGAACATATTTTAATGTCCGTTCCACCAATCGGCTCTTTTACAGGCAAGTAGTTAATTAGATTTCTTTGCGACCAAAATAATCTATTGTTTCCCTAGGTTAAGAACCCAGCATCTCTCGTGTTTAACGCAATGCTAGGCAAGACATTTAACCAAGAAGACAGGTTAAAAACGAAACATTTTTCATTAGTACAAATTACGTACAAAAGAAATACCTTCAACGAGTTGAATGTGTACACATTTAAATAAAACACTTTCAATGGTTCAAAAGGCGTAATATAATATATACCACGGCCACCTTTAAGCATTCGAAACGTCCGGTAGTAGTTCATTTCACGAATTAAAAAAAAAATACGTTTTATTACGAAATATGTTGCGTCGGGTGTTTTTTGACTTTTGCTTTAAAATTGTCAATAATAAACTTTTCTATTTCTGTACTATTTATGAACAATTATTTTTTTATTACTCACCGCCTTTTTTCTCGCTTCTCAACTAGAAACGTAACCAGCGAACCCATGTATATAGAAACAACACTACATGATACAAAATAAAATTTCAAACAAAACCTCTTTCTACAACATAAAGCGACAGTATGAGGGACCCTCTTTTAAAAATTTAAAGGCAGGAAATGCAGCTGTCTCTTTCAGTTGTATTGAGTTAGACAGGGACGGTGGCGCGGAGGAATAAGTACAGTCGGCGAACAAGGCTACTTATAAACTTAATTAAATTTCGAATGTAGATATGATTTTTATTAAATTATTATATTTTACTGAAAACAATACATTATTTGCATACAAAACGTATGACAAGCAATGTGGCACTAATATGTATAATATCGTCCCTAAATCGATTAAATCTATACGAATATATGAAACTGAAGAGTTTGTTTGAACGCGCTATCACAAAAGATCAATCTCAGAAACTATCCGATCGAAGTGAAAAATTATTTTTGTGTTGGGTAGAACATTTATCGAGAAAGGTGCATAACACGCCCTGTAACTAATACAAACGAAGAAGAAAAAAAATGGGAAAATTATTCAACATTAGGTTTCAAAGGCGTACGCTACAAACAGTTCAACATACCCCAAAAATATGTATGCTAGAATGATTCCTCTTTGAATTATCTAAAGAATGTTTATCTTTTAAGATTAACTCGCGAGACCTGTTCTTACGGTGATCAAATTTGGTCGAAATTAATGTAATATTGCCAATTATTTGTTAGAGTAGTCAACATAATAATATTAATCTTGCAAACAACAAAACGACGTTTATCTTTTAAAATTTAGCTTTATAGTATTGGACTCATAAATACAAATATTTATATAATAATAAGAAATAGAGCTCATTATGTGTAACCTGTTACATTTTTATATAAGCCAGGCATTTATTGCTGACCGTACTTGAAAGTTCCGGTCGAAGGAACACCGCCACTAAAGAACAGGTGGTAAGCGAGTTCCGCTATCACATGGTAACGATTTGAGGGCTCACTATTCATAAGAACAAAGTTTTCGATCATAATTTATTCCAAGACCTTACTTACACCTGGACGTGACATGTTTTGACGGTGTACGAATGTTTGTTATTTACGGTTTAACGGCTTAACAGATAACGATAAACATTCGGTGGTAATGTAGCTAAGGGGACGTGTAACTTTCAGATAGCTATATTGCATTTTTTTTATTATTTGTTAAGCCGCTACGCCGTAAATAACAAACATTCATACATCGTCTAACGCTTGCAATATAGACTAGATAATTTTTATGCCAAAATAATACATGTTCTTGAAAAATGTTTTATCTAAATAACATTATATTTAGTACAACATAAGTACTTTGATAACAAATTATATTTTATTGTTAGTCAAGAGTAGACTAGCATAGGTTAATTAAACTCTTCAGTTACAATATTTTAACAAGATGTGTTGTCGGTATTTTGGCTTTGGATATTCGGAAATCCACAGACTGATACCGAAACGCGATACTACACAGCTTTTTGTTTACGGTAGTAATTCGGACATAATTTTAATATTCATTTTACCATTTAATACCTAGATCTTAGACGAAGTCTTAACATTTTTCAAATGGTGGTGGTAGAATTAGCCATAAATTGCTACCATTAGACCATCGAGCACAACGGCGCCTATTACAGTTATGTTTCGTCACTTTTCTATTTACAACCTTATTATTTATTTACTCAATAAAATAGGCTTTAATAAATTACAGTCTCACAAAGGCCCTTCCAAATACTGAGTGAGTGGAAAAGTTAATAAAATTGACGTAAAACGCGACTTGTAGGAGATAGACGTCTGTTTACTGAACAATGTTTTAGTTTAATGGCACTTCTTTCGGTAAGTGAGCGTTTGGAAAATAAGGCTTGGCTGCTCCCTTTTGTGATAGAGAAGGACAAAAAAGGATGGAGTTTGTTAGGTTATATAAAACTGTGTATTAGTTCTAGTGTCTATATTGTGTTTGTCGTGTGGTCTATCTGAAATCAATTGTCTATGGACGGTTCGTCTTTCGTCTCGTAACAAGCATATCGTTTTAAAATTCAAAACTTTTATTGCCATAATAATATACTTACAAACTTATAACTAAAATGTGTGCATAAAAATAATAATAATATAGTAATAAATATATAAGAGATGGCAATCGGTACCAGTCTCAGCTATGCTGCTGAATTCTTGTCATACTCAGCGCTGAATTTCAGACTGGCCCGGGTATAGAAAGAAAGGAGTGAAGTTTAGTAATGTAATATAATATAAATATAATTCCAAGGTTGATATACCATAAGCTGATGCATAATAGAATAATAATAAGAACCATTAATTGTTGCACATCAGCTTTCCAAGGAGGTCAGGAGGTCTAACATGCCTTCCATGGTGGAGGCAGGTCGTTCCATATTTTTGAAGCGGCATATTTAAATCCTCCTTGGAATTTGGAAATTAGATGTCCTATGCTTTGGAATAAGTAAAATATTTATTAGGGTTAATTTAGGGTAAAGACCCTAGTCATATAACATCTAAACTAGTAACGCAGTCGACCTACTTTGGCTTTGGATATTCGGAAATCCACAGACTGAATTTCGGTATTCCTACCTTTCATTTACATCAAATTTTTCGGAAGAATTATACATTCATTAAAAACATGCTGGACCCTGTGAGGAAATGATTGATTATTAGCTATACTCGTACGTTGCTTTAATAAGAAAAAAGTGTTAAGATATTTGATGGTAGTTGTAATTTGAGACCTCTTTGTCCAGTTATATAAAAACTATTAAATACTGTCTATAGTTTACGCGAGTAGTACACATTTAAATAAAATACTTTGACGGATTAAAACGCGATATATTAGTTAACTTATTTGAAAATAAGTTTAACTAATTTTATGAGGGATTCGAAGTTCATCCCAAAAAGAAGGGCAACAGTAGCCTGTAGGTGTAGTGATAAATGTTATGTCCACCTTTAATCTCTAAAACAGTAGAACATAAAAGATTGGCGAAGCAACCCTCAAAATCCACACTTGAGGAGTATAACTTTTGCTGAGCTTAAAATTTCATTCGCTGCTATCGTCGTACTTTGTAGAATAGGGTGACCACGTCTAGTTTTAAATATAGACAAATTAATCTCTACACTTTTATTATAAAGCTGAAGAGTTTGTTTGTTTGGACGCGCTGATTTCAGGAACTACTGATTCCAATTTTAAAACTATTGTTCTGTGGGTTTGACTATTTATTGAGTTAGGCTTTAGGCTATAAAACATCATCCTGCAAGTCTGTGAAAACATTATGCAACTACCGCGTATATTTTTGAAATTTGTGAAAAATACTTACTTTATTCACCGAAATTTAATTGTAGTGTTTAATTTAAGTGTATATTAAAATCATTGCCTTGTGGGCTCATCCATTTTCTAGAGTAAATTATGATTTTTATGTTGTATGTTTATCTAAAATCGACACGACTTCTGGTATAGTAACTTAGTTGACAAAACTAACTGACGATGCCGGTTCAAGTCCTGCCCGAGTCGATCGATTTTCGATTTTTAAATTATATAGTGCCTCCATGTGCAATAACATGTAAAAGAATAATAACGTTTTCAGAATAAGACATGTATAACCCAACAGCTAGTACTCTAGCACTGGAATCTGTGAAGGGAATTTGTCTGAGTTACTTGTATTTATGAATAATTAATCAGACTTAAAGTGAATAAAATAAAATAAACCATTTATTGGTCTTGAGAAATATTCTGAAATCATTGTCGCCCTGACGGAATAAATTATTTACCTTACGTAAAGCTGCGGATAAGCGTGTTTGGACACCTTTTTGCCGCAAGGACGTAAATTCGCTACCTCATATATAACATAAATATAGAGCAAGAATTGACATCTAAAGAAAAATTCTCTTGGGGAAAATAATGATGACAAAGTCGCGACACAAAATGTCCTTTGTATTATTATGTATTATGTTATTTTCGAGGTGAAAATGTATGAATGAAAATAAACCAGACACACAACATCTCAACAAGATGCTCTGCTGAAGTGGTGACCTAATTTAGGCTTTGGACAGTCGGCATTTGTTTTGTCTTCTGTGGACGACGATTTGGACGGAATTCCGATATTCCCACCACCCAATTAAATATCCAGATTTCCAGACGAAGCACATGGTTCAATAAAAATATATTGGACCCGATGAAGATGTAAGATCATTAATTTTTGCATAGGGGTCGTCCATTAATCACGTGACGCTTGAACGGGGGGGAGGGGGTTTAAAAAATCACGAAAATAACACAAGGGGGGGGGGGGGGTGTGGTAAGATATCGCGTGCATTTATTTTTTTCGTCAAACGCGCGATTTTTAAACAAATGGTGTAGACATTTTTATTATAGGTCTTTAATTTCAGAATAAAATAAGATTATAGTCTATACCTGTATTTAAATTAAGATAATATTCATAAAATTTTAAGATTCTTTGTAGGTACTAAAAATACACGTGATGTTTAGAAGGGGGAGCCTCTAATTTGTCTTAAGCCTCACTACGTCTCACCAATGGGGAGGGGGGGCTAAAAAATTCAAAAAAAAAGATCACGTGATTAATGGACAACCCCATATATTATATAATCTTATAGGCAGGAAGTTTTACTTGTTGTGTTGTGTCTTCTGCATATCGTTTGATAAGACTGTTTTGAGTGTGAAATAGTGTGTGTGAGTATATGTACACAGTGTAATAAAACAGTTAACGGTTTAAAACATTTCGCCTAAACTTCAAGTGTTATTTAAATGTTTTAGTGTGTGTACGTTATTGTTAAATGATTGTCCTACTTACAGGGCATTGATCGTCAAATCGTCCGTAATTCTAAAACCATTACAGCCACTTGCACAAGGAATTACCCGCTATTAGTCTAGGCACGAACCGCAAGTTTCGTCACAAGGGGCACTGAGATTAATGCCCTATTCGTGGAATACGCAGGTATAGCTGAATAAACAATGCGGTTCGTAACAGACTAAACATGAGTTATTATCGGAGGTTTTACGCCGCTACTGTATCCATAAATCGGATCGACCTGAACCTTCTAGATAAAGAAGTACACTTCGGGAATCGCTTCGTTATCGTACTGAGGCTGGGCGACTTGCTCTTCTATATCAACGAGGACCTGGAGGAGGACATTTATATGGTGGTGGTAGGAATATAGTTGGGATATTTCACCCATCATTTGAACCCCATGCTTCGCTATCCATATATTTACTTCAATATATTTTATCTTACTTATATAGAATTTAAGAAGAACACTTAACTGTTTTAAACTCGAAATACATTAATTAACTTTATTCATAATCAACTTCAAATACGGCTCGACGTTTCGGACAACGAAACAGATGGCGCTAGCGTAGCATATTTGACTTTCATACCTGACCACGACAGCTGTTGCAAAGAATCCTAAAATTATATTTACGTCTTATAAACCGTTAAAAGTGTTTTATTTAAATATATACTACTAGCGTAAACTGCTCTAAACACTGGAGAGATTAAAAAGAAAATATTTAAACGTATTTTTTTTTTTTTTAAGCAGAGTAGATAATTCAAGAAATCATAAATATACACTTAACATAGATTTTTATATATTTAAGGCATACACATATCTCGTCGCCAGAGTGCGTATGTATAGAACTGCATTTTTTACTACATCCAATTGACATTTGGCACGAACGAAAGCTTAGAATCCTTTGGCCCATGAAACTGCTGGTTCGTTTAGGATCACAGTGCGTTTCGCAACGCAAAACCCACATAATATTACGTACTGATTAATTAGTGTGATCAATCAATGGAGCAATGATGACCAAAACAGTCATGATAGTTTAGACTTGTTATGCAACCCTAATGATGTTATTACGCTAGCTTTGTTTGTGTTTTCTCGTCTAGTATGATGTTAGAGACAAGCCAGGGCTCACTTCGTACATCTTAAATGTTGTAAATATCTATACCTAGGTAAATAAAGCCTCTATATAAATTAATATTGAAAAAATT